ATAAACACATCAAGGGGGAGTGTCAGGAGGACAGAGACAGACTCTTCACAGTGACATCCAATGACAGGACAAGGGGTAACGGGTACAAGGTGGAACATAGGAGGTTCGACAAAAATATTAGGAAAAACGTTTTCATTGTGAGGGTGACAGAGCCCTGGCACAGGCTGCCCAGGGAGGTTGTGGAGTCTCCTTCTCTGTAGACATTAAAAGCTTGTCAGGACGCGTTCCTGTGTGACCTACTGTAGGTGATCCTGCTCTGGCAGGGGGACTGGACTAGATGATCTTTCGAGGTCCCTTCCAACTCCTGACATTCTGTGATTCTGTATATAACTATTTCCTGCCTTACCAGGGGATACTGTTGGTTTGCATCTGTTTATTTTACGTTCTCCTCTGCCTTCTTTTCATTTTACACTGTGCCTTTATAAATTCTCTGGGTAGCAAGTGTGTTTTCAAACTGGAATCTAAAATAGCCAAGAGGAGAAATATTTTCTCGATAATTTAGGGAATCTTGATTCAGAATAGAGTCATAGAACAATTCAGGTTGGAAAAGACCCTTGGGATCATCAAGTCCAGCCATTGACCCTATGCTACAAGTTCACCCCTAAACCCCATCACCCAGCACCCCATCTAAACGACACTTGAACACATCCAGGGATGGCGACTAAACCACCTCCCTATTCGTGGTTGATTTACCTTTTTCTTAATGACTTTCAGACTTTCCGTGAAGAATTTCTTCCTAATGTCCAGCCTAAACTTGCCCTGTTGCAACTTGCAACCGTTCCCCCTGGTTCTGTCCCTAATTACCTGTGAGAAGAGACCAGCACCAACCTCTCTACAATGTCCTTTCAAGTAGTTGTAGAGCATGATGAGATCCCCCCTCAGCCTCCTCTTCATCAAACTGAACAGACCCAGCTCCCTCAATTGCTCCTCATAAGTTCTGTTCTGCAACACCTTCACCAGCTTTGTTGCCCTAAGCAACACCTTCACCAGCTTTGTTGCCCTAAGAAACACCTTCACCAGCTTTGTTGCCCTAAATAGTTTTTCTTACTTTGTAAGACCATCCAACATGTTTAATTCTTCTTATTTTCTGAGTGTCAAACACTTTTTTGCACTTCTTTGACTCCAAAAGAAGTTTTTATAAAGGTCTTTTTCTCTGTCTCTTTCTTAATGCATAGGCAAATGGGAAGATTACAGCCTTAATTCAGAGAGCATTTTCTAGGCAAGACACATCCTAAACTTAACAGCAGAATCCTGCTGGACATGCCTAGCATCCTAAACCATGCCATGTGAAATTAATCTCCATGATGTCTGTAGTAAATTAAAATTTCAGGAAAAATGAGAAAAGGCATTTTTGAGTGAACATAGAAAAGTCAGTATTTAAATGTTAGTAGATATAAAACAATATAAAGTTTAAAATGAATTGATGTTATAATCTGGCAATGTTATATCAGGAAGGTAAAACCTGAATAACATACTTTTTTTTTAACCTCACCTACATTGCTTTGTATAACAAACATATGTTACTAATGCAATAGTAATTTATCAGGGGTTTTGTTCCTGTATGATTTTAGCAGTCAAAGTTATGAATTCTAATGAAGTGTCATGTTATTTCTCTCTGATACTCATTGAAGTTGAGCCACATGGGAGTCCTCTACAGCCAAAGGGTAAGAACTTTCATAAGAAAATTAACAAGCTTAGCGGTGACCCAACATGTGACCAACTTTGAGAACAGGCACAGAGAACTTTAGGTTATTAAAACCTGTGTAGATCTACATGCAAATTTCTTCTACAGATATTAGTGTGAATAATGTAACATTAAAATATTGTAAAACTGATTTCCAAATGATCAGCATCCCATATCCATATCTAAAGCACACATTTTCGTTAAATTCTTACAAGCATCTAGTGCATGCATTTTGTATCATTGTAATCCTGACCCACAAAAACCATGTTAACTTTAGCAACAGAGACCTGGCTAGTTATCAGCAACCATTCAGGATTCAGATTTACACCAAACAGACAACAAGTTCGGGCGGGAAAGAACATCTCCTCCATGTTTTGCATGTTTTATCTGGAACAAAAGATTACTGAGGTTTCTCACAGTTATATGCATTCATTTCAGGGAAGGAGAAGAATGAAGAGACTCACTCACCCGTTCATGTCTCCGTTTGGCCATTGAGTTTCTTGGCTATTCTCACTCTTCTTGGAGTTGGCATATCAGTCTATTTCTACCAGAAAAAAAAGACAAACCAGCCGTCAACATATTCTGGCAATGAAACACTTCTAAAAGGTGTTGGTGACCGAAGAATGGGCGAGAAAGGGTCCTGTGGCACATACCAATTCATGGGAGAAACTTCCTTGCTGTAATTAAATAATGTATCTGCTAAAAGTCTTTAGTGAGGGTGTTTGTAGCCTTAAATTAAACCCATATTCTCTTTTTGCACTAGCAGAATCTTTTGTTCATTGATGTTCTACAAAATCTCATTGCAAATTGATGTTATAGTTTTGTAAGTCAAGATGTTTTCAAGTGCCTTAGCAAAAACACTTGTCAGGAACAAATACATGTACTGAAAAAGGACTATGAAAGTCCTAGTGAGGCTGGATGTTCAGTAAAGTGTGATTAGTACTTAGAACTGTATTCCTATGACTATGTGGACACTACAAAGAACTCAACAAAATCTGCCCAACTCTGTTGCAATCTTGAACTTGTTTTGCCCCACAAATATCACTCCATCAGACCACCACCATTATTGTTCCTTATAGCTGTATCTTATTACACTTACTTATAACATGATACTTCATATACTTAGATAACTTTGCTGTACAAAATCTTGCTGTTTTCATTGTCTTTTTTTGAATATACAGTTCATACCAGCAAAGGATTAAGCTCCGGTGTAGGTTTTGTGCTTTTTACAATCTGATGATTGTTAACTGTAGTATGTTTGCTAAAATTAATTAAAATATTGTAACCCTTGCAGTCTTCCTTCTTGTTGTTTATGCTATGAAATATTTTTTTTATTAGTTTAGTTTTCAACTTCATCCTTCCCTGTGAATCAAGTGAGAGGAAAGAGGAAGCGAGGTGCTCCGGTCTGCACAATAACGCTTTTGTCAATAACAAGGAGGACACCCCCCCCTGCCACTTTGAATTCAGCTTGAACAAGCACCAACTTGCCATTTTTAAATGTGAGAAAAAGGAACTGAAAACTAAGGAATGCAGCAGGTGGTACTGTACTAAGAATCTGCAAGAAGATTAGGTTTAAAACCTTAGAAAACCAGTGGAAAGCACTACAAAATAGCATTTAAGTGAGCTGCAAATATAATTTAGATACTAAATGCTTTATGGGGAAGAGTGTTTAGCAGATATCCCCAGCAAAAACCTGCCTTCCCCAGGCTGCACAGAGTCTACTGAGCAAGCTGGAAAGTAAAAATAAATAATAATAAAATATTGAAAAGAAAAAGTAGTAAAATTTCTTTACTAGGCTCTGGACTCGTGGTGAGAACAGGTTATTGCACAAGTGAAATGCAGAGCACAGGACACTGACCTCAAAATGTCAAGCTGGTTGGCACTTTGTGAGACAGAGGAGGGAAACGGGCAGGAGTTGTGACTTCCAGGTATTTTCCCTAGGAATTCCCTCTGTCAGAGCCATTTCATTTTGTTATTTCAAATGTGTCTGAAATATGATTTCACTCAAATTCAGCTATTATTTCTCTCCCACCTCTTCGTAGTCTGTGGCACTACTCGGCTTCACAAATTTGGGTTGTTCTTGCAAAACCAAGCAAGCTCAAAACCCCAAGCTTCTGCTATCATGTTAGCTCCAACAGAATAGTTGATATTAAATAATTCCCACTTTTACTGAAATCCAGACAGATTTTTTTTTCTGAAAGTGTTTTTCTCGCTTAGTATTTTCTAACAGTCAAATCAACAAGTTTAGCCAGTTCTTGCAATAATTTTCCTTAACACCTTATAAATAAAAGATAGTTGTTCCTCATATGACATCTTCGGCTTCTATATATATCTCAGTACTGCTTATTTCACTTCTTGCTTTTTTCATTTTCTTTATCGCAACTTCTTTTAAGTTCACTGATGTAAATAAACATAAGGAGCAGTAGGGCTTGTCCGCATGTGAATATTTGCCAGCACAGTTGTACAAGAATTGCCATGCCCATGAAAGTCTTCAGATGAGAGCTTTGCTCACAGATTAAAAGGAGCCTTTCCAATTTAGCTTGCAGTTGGCTCTGTTCTGGAACACCCTCATCAGGGATTTTTTGGATAGATGAACACATCCTTTTGCTTAATAAAAGTCAAAATTTTTCCTCCTGTTTCAGGGAAGCTTATCACTAGCCTGTAGCAGTGAACATCTTCACTTCCTTCAGGTCTTTGACAAGTAGTTCTAAGCAGCCCAGCCGCAAACAGTGATATAAGAAAGTAGTGTAATAGTACAGACAAAAACCCCCCCAATTTTAGCCCTCAAACTGAGCAATAATTCATAATGCAGCAAATACTGCAGATCCTGAAAAACTTGCTTGCTTTCTTCTAGATTTGTAGAGCTGTGATGTTATACTGATGCACTTAAGTAGTGAGGTTTTGTCTCCCTTTGTTTCTGAGATGTAAGGGTTAAAACAGACTAAATTTTTAATTCATGATACTTCACGTTTCTTGTCACCAGTTCTCAAGTTGCTTTTTTCAGAGTTCTGTTCTGTGTAACACCCCCAAAAAAAGCCTCTATATAATCGTAGCAAAGTCCCAGAAAAAGACAAATGTCACCATCTCTAGCTACAAGGACAGAGGCTTCAGTTTTGGAAGCAACTCGCTTTTCAAACATAGCAATGTTTGCAGTGTGCACTCCAGTTGTTTCAAAATATCATGTGACAGGATGTTTCCTTATTTAGAGTACAGAGTTTTATCCATCAACCCTTGACACGGAGAAGGACCTGCTACTCTCCTCACTCGGAAGGATTTTATAAGTTGCCAAACATTTAGTACAACTTTTGAGAGCGGAATGAAAAGCAAGTTATGTTTGCAAAGAGTTTCTCCAGGTTCCTAGTTTTTCTTTTCCTCGGACATGACTCATTACAAACACTGGGTAAGTTTCCTGTTAGTTTTGTATTAAACTAGGTATGAAACTGCTTTTCCTTGGGCAGCTTTACAATTTTGATGCATAGATTGATTATTTTATATTTGTTATCAGGTCTGATACGTGACCTAAAGAGTATGTTGAGTACTATCCTGGGAGTTCTTAATTCACAGAATATAAAAGATGTAGGGATGTTGGGGAAAATTGAGGTAGTAAGAGCAGGATTTATAAATTGGAATTTCTTTCTGTGGAAATACTAAATTAGATGGTGCTGTATGGGAGGGCAATGAGAGATAGGAAGAACGAAGCATCTTCCTATCTCTCACAATTACTCTCTCTATCACACCTGTGGTGCAGTGATCAAAGGGTTTTAGAGCCATGTGTTCATGATAATAGCTCTGCAAGTTTCTCTTTTTGCTCCAAGACATGAGGTATGAGAGGGAAGAACTGGCTCCTCCCCTCCAGTCTACCCAAATTAGGAGAATAGTACTAGTCTAAAGATGTACATTTCTCATTGGGTATAGCTATACAAACGGTAAAGCAGTAAATGTATGTAGAACTGAGCAGATGAATATTTGCATGAATGTGAGATGGAGAGAATATATGAAAAATTTCAGGATAAAAGAATGCTCCTGTAATACTGTGACAGCTTAAAAATTGTTAACCTTAAAGAATCTGACTTGAGAGTGAATCTGCAAGATCCCTCTAAGTGCAGAAATGTGTGATTGAAACCTGAATTTTTACTGAGTAAAAATGCTCATAACAACCTGATCTGTATTCTCTCTGGTCAGCGACCCTTTTTCTTTAAACAATTAATGAAAAGGTGGAGAGATAAAGTGAACCTATTGAACCATACAGAATACAACAATGCAGTGAACTCGTCTGAGATCTACTTGTGGTTTTTCTGTCTTCAGGAATTTATCACAATTTATCACCAACTTAGGATCACAGATTTTAACTTTCCCACAAAGTATATATGTCAGACTCTAAACACAGTATTTCAAGCCTATATTTAACTAAAACAACATCTTATTAAAAATCTCTAGCTACACAAAGGGGAAAACGATAGAAAATGAGTAGAAAAAGATTGTGTGATCTCTCAATTTAGACAGTTATACTGATAGATAGGTCCATTGCTAGGAAGTCAGATTTATGATTCTATGATTATTTGCATATGTGCTTAATCTTTTCTTCCCCCTAGATATCTTTACACTACAAGGAAATGCCAATGGACAGCCATGTGTATTCCCTTTCAAATATGAAGGCAAACAGTACAATGAGTGCACAGATGCTGGGCGGTCAGATGGCTGGCTCTGGTGTGCGACAACTGCAGACTTTGATGCTGATAAACTGTATGGATTTTGCCCGCTAATAAGTAAGTCCTGCATTTTGTTTATTAACTTGCCGTGAAATGTTGTTGAGAATACTATCTATTGAGGTAAGAGGTTCTTTATTAGCTACCAGCTGAACAACCTCCTGACAGACCTTGTCAGAGTAGCCCAAGTAAAAATCATCTGATTGAGCATTATCCCCCCGTCCTCCCTCTGTAGTGAGTAGAGAGGATGAGGTGCTTCCAGAGTGTGGTCCAGGTCCACGAGGTTCCAACTCAGCTGCTGAAGGTGGCTGTTTCTCTTTGTGAAGAGCTAAGGAGGGAGGTTCTTTGATATCTCATTTTATGTAACTTAAGTGCATGGCAGAACTAGTGTGAATTTAGACCTCTATGTTCCTTTAAAATATTCCCATTGCTCTTTGTTTCTAAGGCATGCCCTGTAGATCAGTTCTCACTTAAACTATTAGATACTTTTTTTCCCCCCCCTTAACATCCTATCTTGTTCTTGTCTCCTATCAACAGCCTACACAAAAATGTTGCTGCTAAACTTATACTCCTCTCCCATCTTTGTACTATTTTCTGCATTGAATTTGTGTTTGGATGACTTCACCTCAGGACACAAACTGTTTCACTTTTCTCACCAAACGCCTTCCCAAGAACAAAACAATTTCAGAAGGTTTTGTGAGCTGTTCTGCAAACAAAGACTGTAGCTGAACTGTACATTGGTGCAACAGACTGTTTCTATAGCTACTTGGGCTTTCAAGGGCCAGGATCTGCCATTTTTAAAAAACCTGCTTCTCTTTATGATGAGCTAAGAGTGAGTTCCTGCCCCATGTGGGTAAAGAACCTCCAGGCTCGTAGTTCACCTGCACATTTACTTTCCTCCTCTTACTTCACCCTGGAATCTCTTTTTTCAATCAACAGATACATTTAGTTTACATTTAGTTTAGTACCACGTGTTTTGTAAAAGAAAATCTAAAAGTCAACACTGGAAATCCATTCACTTCCTGCTAAAAACTTAGAAATGTAAAATAATGTTTTTAATTAAAAAATCCCCACTTTTTCTTAATTGATATTGCAATTTTTCTAGTTCTTTAAAATTGATGATAGCATACAGTTAATACTGAGCATTTTTAGAGATTTTCCATCATTACATAGTTCATTTGCTCTTAGTTGGTGCAATGTCTGTCTTCTAACAGTGCTCTGTATCACTTTTTTTTCCAGACAACACCGAAAGATTTTGGACGAAAGATGTTTCAACTGGCATCCGCTATCAGATAAACTCAGAATCAGCTCTAACATGGCACCAGGCAAGGAAAAGCTGTCAGCAGCAAAATGCAGAACTGTTAAGCATCACAGAGATTCACGAGCAAGCATATATAGGAGGTAAAACGATAGAGAATAAGACCTTAAAATATGCTGCCTCAGAGCTTTAGACAATGAAGTTGGCTACCTTGTCTTCAATCTAAGTGAAGAAGACAGAGTATCAGGGATGGCTTAGCAGCCACCAAAAGGGAGATGGTCTTAACTGCCCTTCCACCAGCTGGTGTTTTTTGATGAAGGGTTGGTGCCAAACCTCTACAGAGGGGAAAAATGATCCCATCCCACCTTTGTGATCCAGGTGGCATCTACTGCACCTTTTGCAGCCTGTACCCAGGAGATGGTTTCCTGCCCTTCATGCCAGTGCAGGGCTATGGTCTGGTCCTCCAATTTACCTTTTTCCTCTGTACTTCAAGGATTATTAATCTAGGAGAACATATGATGGTGCCTAGGTTGGTCCTAACGTGTATATTTGCATACGTAAACTCCAAATAACTGCAGTGGATTTCAGATACAAGTACCATGGTATCAGTTTGGTTATAGATGGCGTGAAGGAGGCTTTAATATCACTCACATAGGAAAAAATCTGGAAGCAACAGGTGGGTATACTGTCTTTGTCCTTTTGATACATTTACTCCATGAAATATGTTACAGGAACCTTTTAGCACAATTCTGTAATGAAAATAAGGTATTTTTTACATCTCTTAGGTTTAATGAAACAAAGTGAGAGAAGTAAAGTCTTATTTAAGTAGTGAAATAGGATGTTCATTTGACCTTTTAACTACTAAGATTGCTCCTTAGTCAATATTTATTCATTTACATATGTTATTTTTCAAATACGTGCACCCTAGAAATGCAGAAAGTACTGGTTTGAGGCTGTTTTAAAGTAAGAAATATAAATTTCTTACTTTTAACTTTATTTCTTTTAGATGAACTTGCTAAGAATGTGAATAGGGAGATACAACTGACTTTTTTTTCTAATTTAGAGCTAACTAAAAAATTCGGTTTTGCATTCTGGATTGGATTGAATGCTTTGAATTTTAACAGTGGATGGCAATGGGCTGGGGGCAGCCCTTTCAGATATTTAAACTGGGCTCCAGGTAAGAACTTTTTCTATTTTGTAATCTTTGAATGAATTCTGATAAGATGCCAACTATTAAAACTGCCCTAGGTACTTTTATTTCAGGAAAGCCCATTCTGATTTACAATAGCTCAAGATCTAGATCTGTATTTTAAGAAATACACTTCCAAGTTAGAAAGTTCACTGTGGATATCAGCTATAGCAAGTTCTTTTTTTTTCTTATATAAGCAAAGAGCTTGTTTAAGAAAGTAGAGTATTATTTGGAGTGATACATAACCCTACACACCAGAGATCAGAATTTTTCTGTAACGTATTGCCCAAGAGTAAAAATATAAATCAGATCTTTCTGAAAGTGGCAAAATATTTACAAAATAATAACACTATGTTGTCTGGAGAAATTCTAAATATTACTGAGAGGCTTATAGAGCTTGCTCGTAATTCCTCAACAGCTTACCAAAATTGTGCTGGGAAACAGGGGTGGGTTTCTGGTGCTCCTGAGACATCGGGAGTTCTTCCACTTGCTTGTTGGCTTTTGGTCCTGAGTTTCCTTTGTGTCAAAAGTATTTCAAACAGTCTGTTTCGGAAAAGTTACAAGGTGGTAAAGGAATAATTAAATTCTCCTCTAAGTTTTCAAAAAATCTGTATCAGGCAATTTCTTTTGCTCCTTATAGAGGTTTTTACACACTGCAACAGAAACGAGAAAAGCTGTTTTACAGGAAAGCAGAATCGTGAGATTCTTGAGATATACTGAAGGGATGGTTTAATTTAAAACTGATTACTTTCAAAGTTTGGAAGTTTTTGAAACAGCGTAACAGTCTAGCTTCAGTTGTTCTGTCTATGACCACCTGGATATCAGAAAAAAACCAGAAATTTCCCAGCACTATCCTGAAACTAAGTCAATGGAGGGCCATTGCCTCACTCTCAAAGCATAGACTAAAAGCAACATCCTATAAACTACAACACCAGTTATCCTATGGAAGAGGGCTTCTTCATATCAAGCATTGAAGAAATTAGACTAAGTTTATATTTCTACTGACAATATGAAGGGTTTAGTACTGTGAAATTCTGTTTTCTCTTTTACGCAAAGGAAATCCTTTCCTGCTCCCTGGGAAAATCTGTGGAGTGATGAATCCCAGAAAGAGTGCTAAGTGGGAAAACCAAGCCTGTAACCAGAGACTCGGCTACATTTGTGAAAAGAGGAGCTTCAGTTCAAAGTCTAACATAATACCTAAAGGTAGGTTAGTCAAAAATAAAGATTTTTCTTTAGCTTCTAGAAAGTCAAATCTGTAAGGATCTGGAAAAGATATGCAACATTATTTTTCAACCAATATGTTAGAAACCTTTGCAAAACACACACAGTCTTGCACTCTAAAACACACACAGTCTTGCACAGTCTATATATGTACACACAGTCTTGGCCTGAAACTGCGTCAGTGAAGGTTTAGGTTGGATCTCAGGAAGCACTTCCTCACAGAGAGGGTGCTCAGGCGCTGGGATGCACTGCCCAGGGAAGTGGTGGAGTCACCGGCCCTGGAGGTGTTTAAGGAGTGGCTGGATGTGGCACTTAGTGCCATGGTCTGGCCGTTGTGATGCTGTTGAGCCACAGGCTGGACTTGATGGTCTCGGAGGTCTTTTCCAGCCTCCACAATTCTGTGATTCTGTGATTCGATACTGCTTTTGTCCTCCCATTGTATATTAACCATTCATAGGAGAATATTATTATTTTGTTCCATCACTCTATCATTCATTCTTGCAAGACAGATAAAAGCTGTTCTGTCATGGTAACCAGTGCCAGCAATCAAATTTGCACAAATGCAGTAGAAATGTTATGCTTCTCATTTTCTTCTTATTGGTTTCAAATGAGCAATTGAAATTGCTCTAATATTAATTCAAAAAAATCCTTCTCTGATGACAACATTACGTGATGCATTGGGTTCACATAAGCAAAGCAGGAGGAGCAATAGTAATCGCACAGGCTACATCTCACCCTAACCTGAGACTTCGGTGACCCGTGGCTATGAACATGTCACATGCTGTCATCTGAGACTGCTATAAAAGCTACTTTTAAAGAAGTAGTTATATTAAAGAAAGTAGAGAAATAGTCTCTGAGACTCTTTATTCCTCTCTTAACCTTAAAAAGAAAGGCAGGACTGAAAATTCCATAGCTGAAATAGCTGAAAATTCCATGTGTCTGCAAGGAGACATTGATCAGGAGGCAGAGCGTAACATCAGCCACAGTATTCGGCCCAGGAGACCATCACACACTGACTGAACTGCTCTGGGGGTAAAGAGGGCAGCGGCTGATGTCTGCTTTGGTCTCTCTTGCTTTCCAGAGCATTATTTCAGATTGCATCTCTGTTTAAGGAGGCATCACTCTATTTGCATATTTAGCATACTGTGCCCTAATGTTATTTGTTTTTCATTTGAATATATTTGCATTTCTAACTACAGCTTTGTGTTTATTCATATAGTGCCACTTTTGTAAAGAGTGCTCAAGAGACCTCATTCTAGTGTTCTTTACTTCCCTCTTACAAAATTGCTCTGAATAACTCTGCTTTGATTTTAGAGGAATTGAGACCTATTAAGTGCCCAGCTGGCTGGTGGCCATATGCAGGCCACTGCTACAGCATTCAACGGGAACCCAAAATATGGAAAGATGCTTTGACTTCATGTAAGAGGCAAGATGGAAATTTGGCAAGTGTCCACAACATCGCTGAATACAGCTTTCTAGTGTCACAGCTTGGTTACAGTGAGTATATACATAGGTCTGTATTGAGTTTGCCCCATTCATAATGTAAAATCTGGGCTTCATATTAAGTATTAATGCTTCCTCTGAAATGTCACAAAGTGGAAGATTAAATCTAACTTATGGTGCTCTTTTATATTGCTGCTCTTGCACAAACATAGAAGTATATTTTTCAAGAAAAAAATCTACTTTGTGTAACATTATCACGTGGGAAAAGAAAAGGAAAAAAAGGTATTCCTAACAGAGGCACATAAAGATCTCTTAAGGCTGCATTTTTGGCATCTTTATTCTGTGTTCAGAATCTTCAGAAGTGAAACCCAGAAGAAGTTTAACTTCTTGCTGAGATTAAAATTTCTTGCTGAGATTAAAACTTCTTGCTGAGGTTAACACCTTGTTATACCTCCTTTTAGGGAAATGCTTCCCCACTGAGATGCGTGGGCAGATGTCTTCATGGCTTGTGCTCAGAATGATCTCCTGACAGGCGGGACACTCACAGCTACTCGCTGTCCTACCCTCCATGCCAAGGGCCATTTCATTGTTCTAAGTTACAGATAGTCAGAAAATTTGCAAAAATCTTATGCTGGCCATAAAGAACCCTGTGTTTAATAAACTCAGGATTTCCAGGTAGAATCTGAGGTCTTTTCAGTACAGACCAAGACATCTCTTACTGCAGATCTGAGAGGAAAACAGCCCTTTTGTTAAAGTATGAAGACCACCTCTCATGTACCACATTCCAAATTTATTACTCCCTCTTTGCTCACTGTATAGCATAGGAGAGCATAAACCTATTTCTTTTCATGCTTCAGAGCCAACAGAAGAGCTATGGCTGGGTCTGAGCGACCTGAAGACTCACTTCTATTTTGAGTGGAGTGATGGGACTCCTGTGATGTTCACCAAATGGCAGCGCAGGCATCCCACCTATGCAAACGGTCTGGAGGACTGTGTTGTTATGAAGGGGCAGGTATAACCATGCAGCTGTTTTATAGCAATGCAAATTAATAACTACATCAGCCTGAAATCACTTATGTACACGTTATGTACTTATTCAGGAGTCATTATATATCTTAGCTTAAAACAGTTTTCCCCATAAACTCGGCATCAACCAGAAGAGATGTTCAGGAGGACAGGAGAGATCGGAAATAGAGGGGTAGCGTTTCTCTTGTGCTGCCTTTCAACATTTCTTATGCCGTAAAAAGTCTACATTAGGTTAATCCTTTTGGCTGCAGCAATGAAAAAGTTACACCTCTGGGAGAGGAATGGGGTGAACTAATAAATACATTCTGTGGTTATCATGGATGCTATCTGCATACTTCATTTTCCAATCCGATAAGCCATTATGCTCCCCAATGTCACCTCACTGAAACGTGGCATTGAGGCATGGAGACCTGGCACTAGGGCATGTTTCTTGAGCTGTTACATAAAGAGAGCATTAACACCTACCCATCAAATACCTAACACAAAATCCTGTGGTATTTCTGACTGCTTGACTCAAAAACTTTATTCTCTTGCAAGAAATGGCTGTTTGACACATTTACATGCATGTGCATGCACGCAACATACACAGTGTCATGAATTTTATGAGAAACAAATTGGAAGTGCTGTTATGAAAAAAATGCTGTTACTGAAAGTTCATATCATAGAATAATACAGTTTGACAGTATTAGGCATCAGTAGAGCTGATCTTAAACTAGATGTTATACATAAAAAGCCCTCCTATTTATTTTTTTTTTTAAATAATAGATTCATAGAATGTATTGTACTGGAAGGGACACTGAAAGGCCATCTAGTCCAAACCCCCTGCAGTGAGCAGGGATGTCTTCACCTAGCTCAGATTGCTCAGAGCCCCATCCAGCCTGACCCTGAATGTCTCCAGGGATGGAGCCTCCACCACCTCTCTGGGCAACCTGTGACAGTGTTTCATTGCCCTCACTGTAAAAAATTTCTTCCTTATATCCAGTCTAAATCCACCCTCTTTTAGTTTAAAACCATTAGCCTCTATCCTGTCATAACAGGCCTTGCTAAAAAGATTGCCCCGTCTTTCTTATAGGTTCCTTTTAAGTACTGAAAGGCTGTAATAAATTCTCCCTGGAGCCTTCTTTTCTCTCGGCTGAACAATCCCAATTTTTACATAATTCCTTTTTGAAAGTAGTACTTTTCAGAGTCTTATCCTTGATGGGTAGAATTAATTTACTGCAACACACTCAGATGTCCATTATTTCAGTTTCATTGATCTTTTTTCCAGAAGCGTAGTGAAATAATGCTGCTCTAAATGCAGATCCATTAGCGGCAGATGAGACACATATTTACAAATTTTCTCATTAGATAGATAGTTACGTTAGCAAGTAATGTCAAGACTTCAAGATGTTATTTCCTTCTTTCATCTCAAAATAGCATCAAATGGATCTTAAACCAATCCTGATAGATCTGTCTGGGTGGGGTTTTTTTTAATAATAAAATCTCCAGCAATGATCCCATAGCCTTTCTAGGTAAGATATTTCAGTGAGGCTTGTAGTGAAGAGAGAAGAAAATATTATTTTTTCTTATATTTACGAATACCTCTTATTTTTTACATTCATTTCTTCTCCCTGCTATTCTAGGATGGATACTGGGCAACTGATGTTTGTGATAATCACCTTGGTTACATCTGTAAAAGGAAACCTTCATCACAGTCCCCTGGAAAAGAGACCATCAAGGACTCAGGCTGCCAGAAGGTAAAGGCTCTCTCATGTATTAATTATGTTGGGAAAAATGAGCAGGAATTAATTTAATGGTTCTTGCTTCTTTTAGAGTCTTTGCGTTTTCTAGGAAAACTACTCTTGAGGAAACCCATTCTCTTCCTACTAGCTATTTACTAATATATGTGCATTTTTCATTTTTGCTCTGAAAATACTCAAGAAAGTAATTTCATTCACGTACATGAATACTGCATTTCCATCCATTTCCAGATGAGCTATCCTGTGACAAAATTATATATTTTTTAAATAGTAATTTCAGGACTATTTTTTCTGTTTCTGCTTTTGGCGTAACAATACATGTAAAATTACCAAAAGCTACATTGTCTCTTCTCTCAGATATGCTGTCTATTTAAAGTCTTCACAAAGTCCTTTCTATCTAAGAATGATAAAACAAAGAAAATAATTTCAAACTAGAAAAGGATCAGCTTTTCTGTACGATGTTCCCACCAATTGTCTCCGTAGCTGGCCTTTGAGTGGTATGTTGTTTTTCCAAACAGGTAATTTTGCCAGAATTGGCATTTTCAGTAAATCACTATCTCTATACTGGGCAGCACAGATGTCTCTAAGGGTAGGAAGAAGTAGGGGTGTGTTTTACTGAGACTCCTCCTTTTTACCCTCCCCACAAAGAAGCACCAGCTAGACTCTTCTTGACTCAGGGATGGCAGGGGCAGCTTCGGGGAGCTGTGCTGGTATGTGAATTGATTTCCATGTCGCCATAATTTTGTATTTCATTATGTCAGATCCTGCAGCTCTGGAGAGCTGGAGCTGCAGCTCCCCTGAATGAATCACAGGCTTGTTATGGTGCAGTTTGCACAATCTCAGCTTTACAGAGCACTGGAAGGCAATAGCAAATACCACAGTCACAATGTTTTTTGAAAACTCACGTACACATAAAAGAAGATCTTAATGTCATCCTTTAAACATAAAAGGCCTTCTCTAGCAGCAGACAATAAAAAAAAAAAACACCTCAGCTTTTGTTTATTGACAGATCAGGCCGGTGTCTTCTTTTTAAACGTAGCCACAACAAATTTAACATTTGATATTTGACATCAAATTTAACATTTGATATTTATACACATTATTATGTTATATACTTCTATATTGAAGTCTCTTTCAATTTCACATTAAGAACCTTATGCTTGTTACAGGGTTGGAAGAGATATGGTTTTCACTGTTACTTGGTGGGCTCTGCACTTTTGACATTCTCAGAAGCAAATAAGACATGTGTACAGAGCAAAGCTTATCTAGCTACGGTGGAAAGCAGGTGGGAATATACATTTTTTTATACTTCAAAATCAGTGCTTATGATGAAGAAACTTGCAAAACTTACCCATTTCCTGAATTCTTTGAAGTTTTTTATAAGCTCTTAAAAAGTTGTGTAGTAATAATCCAAATAAAATTATCCATGCAGGGAAAAAAAAAAAGAAGATGACTCAATGTTTTAGGGCCTTCTACTTAATCTATTATAACAGTTTTCACATTTTGGGGTTCTTGAGTTAAATGATTTTATCCTTCAATTCCTAATTAAAGCAACTTCTATGTTATTTTGGGTCCTTTTTATGTTAGCATGTAGTTACTACAATTTTCATCTATTTACTGATGGGAATTATTATGTTAGGAAAGCTCTTACAAAAATATTTTCTTAAACTACTTTCTAAGTCAAATTCTGAACAAATTTAGGAAACCTTCCCCAGGACCTGCCCCACCACAGCCAGAACATATTGTCTCCAACCTACTCAGATGTTGGTCAGGCTTTGCAGGCTTCATGACCTCTGAGGAACATGACTGACATTGGAGCTGATGTTTAGCAAAGCTGACAGTTTGGTCCTGATTTGCTGGGCAGTTTGAGGCACCTCACAGATTTGGAAAGACAAGAAGTACAGCAGAATACAACTAGAAGCCCATGTAAGCAGTGACATTTCACAGAACTGAAAGGAGAAAAGATGCCTGCAGCTGAAAGGAGAAAGCTGTCCCTCACCAAATTCTTTTGACCACACTTAAAAGCCTATGAGGTTTTGCCACTGAGGAGCTATTGCCTTGGGGCTGTGCCAGCATAATAGTGCTACCTCTATTTGTACCACTTAGATAAACATTGCAAGGAAATAGGTTGTGAATCAACATTGTTTTCCACTTCAGAAATGAGCAGGCCTTCTTTATTAGTCTGACGGGGCTGAGGTCTGAACAGTATTTCTGGATCGGTCTCTCTGACACAGAAGAACAAGGGCTTTTCATGTGGACTAGTGGTGAAACTCCTCTCTTCACACACTGGAACGCTGCAATGCCGGGTAAGCTCTGCATGGACTCAATCCTTGTGATGGGAATGCAACTGCAATTCATGCAGGTTTCTGCATTCCATTCCCTAGCATTAGAAATTAGAGAATGCGCTTTCTTCTGTGCTTGTAGCTGTAGGTGACCAACACCATCAGACCTCATGTTTTATGCCAGTGCAACAAGCACCATCACAGCTGAGCATCAGGTGTTGTGCAAGTCAATCTGCAAAGTTGTACAGAAACAGATTTTTAGTTGGGTAGACTGAAGGCAATGCTTTGCAGGAGTTAACAAGGTCAATGGTCTTAGTTTTTGCAACTTTTTAACACCAGTTAACAACAACTCATCATATTGAGAAAAATTATCACGGACAGTTAGCAGATGAGCATCGTACGTGGGAACTCTTGACTTCACGCTAGCTAGTTATGCCTTAAGACAAATCTGTTGTACTTGATATCAGCCTTCCTGAAATTAAATTACCTGGATATCAAGAATCCCAAAGCAGTTGTCAGGCCATCTGCTGCATATGAAAGTAAAATCAAGTGCCATTTGCCCTGTGATTTTCCTGAAGTGGCAAGATAACAAAGATTTGTATGCTAAAGCTGCAAATCTCCGTTTTTGGCAAAGGTGTGTCTGTGAGACCCATTCACCCATATCTAGGCTCTGACATGAGGTATTAAAAATAATTTTATATCCAGAATGATTTTTAAGCTGCATGATCTACATTTTCCTTCCCATAGTTTTCTATGAATAAAAGCAGAAGTCTCATTTCTTAGAGAGCAAGTAAGACTTTGGATTTACTCATTTCTTTTCCATATCACAAAGGAAAAAAGCAAGGCTGTGTTGCCATGAGAACTGGAATTGCAGCTGGATTATGGGATGTTGTTAGCTGTGAGAAGACAGCAAATTATCTTTGCAAACAGCGGGCAGCTGGAGTGCAGCCTCCTGCTCCTCCAGTACAAGTCCCTGCGGTTGCCTGTGCCGAAGGCTGGGATGGAGCTTCCTGGGCAGACTCGTGCTTCAAAGTAAGTGTTTGTCTACTTTCACCACCGGCCTGGGCACAGGGCAGACCAGGGATTGATGCCCTGGTTGCTGCCGTATTCAGAGACCCAGGGGCTGGGTCACTTTTTTGTGAATGATCATTTCCATAGTATTCAAAAAGAAAATCCATCAAATACAATGAAAGTCAACGGTGGAAAACCTGAAACAATGAAATCAAAGCACTGGAAACATGCTTTTATTTAAACACTAGATGAGAACCTCCCCTAATTTACTAGCTTCCAGAAATTTGGGACTTCATAAAAACCTAGTATTGGATCTCAAGAGCTGGCAGTGTCCCTTACATAAGACAGTGTTTCTAAGAGAAAGTTTATGGAAATCTCTCCCTCTGCCAACCTCTTCTCACACAGCATGTGATACTGTTAATGATACTTTTACATCCAGGTTTAGCTTGACATTGATGGCTCTTGAGCAAGTAAAGGATTTGGAAATTCTCTTCATCTTGCTAAAAATGCCTGAAAAATTCTCCTTTTCGAAAAGAAAAAAAAGTAAAGAAATGGCAAAACAGATCAAGTGAAAGTATGCAATATTGCTCTTCCAGGTCTTTACATAAGTATCCTCTCACTTTCTTTCTCGAGACTCTCTGCCTGTTGGGAGGCCAGAGATAATTTTAACCCTGTATTTATAAGGGTCTCAACTTCTATGTCACAATTATTGTTACTAACATTAGTGGTTCTGCCCATTACCAACTGTTGATTTTCCTTTTTCCAAAAATGTCAAGTCTTCAGTTCTGTACTTCAAGAATGTTCATACTTCATAGTAGAAAGCAGAGCTATTTGTATGCTTGCACCACCATAGAAACCTCTCTTCTTTGGCCACCTTTCAAAATATCCTTCTCTGTTCACACTATCTTTTCTACTCCAACCTATTATTTTCCCTCTACCTCCCATTTCTCAAAAATCTCATGCTTTCTATTGTGAAATACCGCAACTGAGATATTTTATTTGTCTTCGACCCTCTCAATGGTCAAAGTTCCAATTAAGTTATAAATTATGTTTTTCCTTCTCTGTGTTTTTTGATATCTCTTGTTCTCCTCAGGTGCCTGTGCTGCTTTTGCCTTATTTCAATATAGAGGATGCTAAGAAAAAAATACTTACACTTTGCACTACTAATGGTTAATATTATAGGCCCTGACAGACGTGTCACTCGAGAATAAAGGGGTGCTAAAGTGATACTGATATTAATTACACAGAAAATTATGTATTTTTATATGTCAAACTTCGCACATTCAGAAGTTAAATTTTACTTTTTTTCTCAATAGTTTTTTGTGAGAGAGGGAAATGAGAAGAAGTCTTGGTTCGAGGCTGAAGAATTCTGTAAAGAAATAGGAGGAAATCTGGTCACAATCAATACAAGAGAAGATCAAATTTTATTATGGCAATTAGCATCGTGAGTACCTGCAGAACATTATTTTTCATGTTTGTGCTATGTTACATAAGAGTTCCTTCAAAAATATACCTGAAGCTGGGTGAGTGAATAAACACAATCAAATTTTAAATTGAAATGGAAATTTTTCATCTGGAAACATCATCCTGCAATATTGCTTTAAAAAAAACAAATCAACCTCAAATATTTCCAGCTGGCTTTGTTATTTTTGAAATTTTATCACAGGATTTTATGAAGGCTGTTCTCCAGAACTGATCAATTTTGTACATGTCTCCCAAAAGGGAGACAAAACGTTCATCTCTAACTGTGCCTTTTTTTTAACTGGCTGCAGTTTATATTTTAATCAATGCATTGAAAAAACACTCCTTCAGTAAATGTGTAATGTAAACAAAAATGCAAAGATGCAATGTAGATTTTTTTCTGACTATAAACTAAAGACTCCTGAAATCAAACAGGAATTAATTTTAATTATTTTTTGCTAACACTGTAGTTGCCATGTCTTGCATGCAATGTAGAAATTATGCCATTATTTTTCTCCAGAACTAGATCACTATAGTCTGTATTCTGTAATGCCAACACATTGCAAGGGCATGTTGTATCACTATTTAACCAGAACTGTTTTATATAGTGGTGAATCTAGGTTTAATTTTTCAAATAGATCTAAAACTGTAATATAGAAAAGTCTTTAGGACCTCACCCTTCTTAATTTTATTATTTTTTTCCGTAATGTGAGAAGCCGAATGTGTCTTTATCCATCTATTAATTCCCTTTGCTTTAGATGATGAAATCATTGTGGAGGGAAATATTTGTGTTCTGTAGTGAATGAAACGGGACTCTATTATTTGGTCCATAGGTATGAAAAGATAAATAGTGTGAACTACTAAATAAAGTATATAGGAAGTGCCAAGAAGCAAATAAAAGCAGTTGAAAAACATTTTTCACTATTTTTCATTAGTTAAATTGTATTATAGTTCTCTACTGATGTTTTACTTTTGCTAAAGCCTCTCTCTGTGAACTCCTGTTACAGCTAAGAGCTGTGTTGCAGCCACACATGTGGAAGCCTGGCCTAGCTCGGTGCTACAGCACTTTGTCCTTTAACTTACATTCAAATACTGAACTTACATTCATACTCTTGTCCCAATCTGGAGCACTATTAAACTCGTTGAGGGAGGGCACGTGGTAAACCTAGCTGTGGGCCGACATTGAAGGAGCAGCTCCTAACTCAGATGTGACAGAAAGCAGCATGTGTCTGTGCTTTCAAGTATTTATACTATGGCCCCTCTTTCTACACTCATATATCTATATTGTGTGATTTATTTTAGGGATAAAGGACTGCACACTCAGGCTTTCTGGATTGGTTTGTTTCTCTTAAACCCCGACGACGGATTTGCCTGGATTGATGGTTCCCCTGTGAGTACTTCTTCACTGGGTGTTAACTGACTTTCTGTCCTTTGGAATATATAGATTTTCATCTTTTTATGCCTCTTTTCCAATCTCTTTAAACCTTCAGCAGGTGCATGGCAGCAGAACAGCTGCAGTGCTCAGTGATGGCACTGTCTTAACAAACTAATGGAAGAACCTCTTTTTCATCCCTTGTGCCACATTAAATCCCATCTTCCACAGTCTGTTCTCTTAGATCTTCCCAGCATCCCAGTCCAGACACTTCTGTCTGCCCGTACAAAGAAGTCAGGTTGCAATCCTTCACAAAGCCCGATAAACAGGACTCTCTCCGCCCATCACTTTTTCCTCTGTCAGACACGTGCTTTTCTAGACCTTGCAATCTTTACACCTTCTTGGGAGAGTGATGTGGAAGGTGAGCTCATCAGCATGACTTTCACAGACCTATCTGAACTACTGTTGATCCTGGAAATGAGATACTTGAGATGAGGAGATCCTGAAATTGTGTTACAATGGCAATATCAATTACTTCCACTCAGCTTGAATCACAAAGTAATTGAGGTGTATTTCCACTACAGGTAATTTATGTGAACTGGGATGAAGATGAACCCAACAACCATGAAGAACTTGAACACTGTGTTATGTTTAATAGATCACCCCAAATGCGCTGGAACGACTTGCGCTGTGAACATTTACTTAATTGGATTTGTGAAACGAAAAAAGGTATGATTACTACCCCATTTAACTGGAGCAATAAACCCAAATTCAAAACCAAATGGCATAGATTTCAACAAATTGAAAAGAAGAAAGATACTGGGGATTGTTCATTTTGAAACCAGCTGCAGCGAAGGCAACTCATAAAACAAGATAAATGAATTGAGATACTTCAGTTGTACTCCAATGCAGGAATTAAGGATGTCTTTACTACTTTATCCCTGGCTTTAACTCCTTCTGTTATTGGGTGAATAAGTTTGCAAGGCAAAGGTATTTATCTCCTCCTTTTATCTCCTCCCTATATTTCTGCTTCAGGCTTACCCAGGAAAGCCAAAGATAGGGGACACTAAAGTGCTCTCTACAGCAGAGAGAAAAAAGCCTCTGCTTCCCACTGTGAAACGAATAATTGGAACCAAAGAGAGGGATCAGTTGCTATAGGAACCAGCAACTCTAAAAAAGAGATCAATCCACCAGCTTTGCCAGGGAAGCAGGGCCCTAACACCAGGCCTCCCACCCAGGGAGGCCCTTCCCAGCAGGGAAGGGGCGTGATGGTTGGGGTGTGCCTGCCAGTGGGAAATGGCGTCTTCATGGAGTCAGGGCCCCAAGGGACAACTGGCAGTGGAAGAACTCATTTTGCTTACTTGGTTCTGCTTTCACATCCCTGGTTCCCGTGGTAAATTGAGTACTTGTATGCATCTCCATGGAGGCAGGAGATTCTTAAAAGCTTCTCGAAATGAAAAGCTGAACGCACACAGGGAACTAGTAGGAGGCACAATAGGGAGGGGAAGGGAGAAGTTATATAAAAAGCACTGACTATATCTAATATTTGATGACTCTGCCAACAAACCGCTACCCTGGAACAGCAAATAAAGCACCGTGCTAACACGGAAAAAATACTTAGCTGAAAAGGAAGAATCACTGTTCCCTTGTGGGTAGATTAGTCATACAAATGCACCATCCAAACTGACTTCTGCACACCAGCTCAAAGCAGTACACGCTGTGCAGCCTCTTCTGATGTGCTGAGCATGCTGTTTGTACAGATGTAGCTCTCTGCTCTTCGGTGAGATTCCTCAGGAGGAGTTCAGAAATCATGACAAAGACTCTGATTGGTTTATCTAGATGACCTTTCAAAAGTAAAAAAAGAATAATTAGATCTTGTTATTTTGAATCTAGATTATATGGTGATAAACATGAGAGGAGAGACACTCAGCTGTTAATTCCCAAATTACCTCATATTCACTTAAGACACACATTCATTTAAGCTATCCAATGCTATATTTATGTTAGGAATATTATAGTTGTGTTGGGATTAAAAAAATAAAATCAAACTGAGGTGAAGTATGTAAATTCATCATGAAGATGTTTGAATAATTTTAGTTCTACTCTTCAATAAATTCTTAAGAAGAAAAGGTTTAAAAGATACTAACAGAAGAATTTTAATTGCTTTTTCATTTACTTGTTTATTTCTCCTTCGAACTGTTCCTGTCATTTCTTTAGTAATGTGTTCCTCTCCACCAAACCACAAAGCATATGCAACTACATAAAGCAAATCTCTCTGGATTTTTTTGTGTTTAAAATGTTGCTAATGATGATCTTTTATTTTACAGGTACGCTGCCAAAACGTGAACCAAACTACAAATTTGGTAAGATATTTTCCTCTTTCAAATAAAAGAACCCCTAGTGTATAGCTTTCAGACTTTGTACACACCAGATTTGAATGTAATATATATGATCCTTTATCTTTCAGAATATCAAGCCACAAGTGATGGATGGATTATATATGAAGACAAGCAGTACTATTTCAGCAGAGAACATGTCCATATGGGAGAAGCACGGAGAATTTGTCATCAGAACTTTGCAGATCTTGTTGTCATTGAGAATGAAAGCAAAAGACAATTTCTATGGAAATATGTGAGCACTGAGCCCATTAATTATAATCGAATTCTGAAGCAGAGCAGCTGATAAATGGAACAGGCTATCTATTTAGCTACGCTAGAGTTCTGAGTTATTGTCCTACATTAGCTATTTATATAACAATGTCTTTTCTCAGGACCTACAGAGAAATTACTATCATTTTTAGTAGACAGAAGAAAAAGACATGCTAATTTTAAAGGTCCTGTGAATAGTTCAGGCTCAGGTTGCTTGTCTCTTCTGACATATGTAGTGTTCAGCACAGTGATTATTGCTTTTCTGTCCAGTGTGTTCCTAACTCGAGGATGTTCCCCATACCCCTGTTGCCTGCTTGAAACCTGCTCTTGCCATGAGGAAAAAAAGAAAAGGCAAAAAAAAGTCACAGGCATGGTTAATGAGTTTCCAGATTTTTGCTTGATATTAAGGAACTGTTTCATGCTTAACTGTTAATCATTTTTGTTTTAGATTTACACAAAACACAGAATGGAATCATTTTTCATTGGCTTAGTTGTCAGCTTTGATCAGAAATTCAGGTGAGTACAGGAAAACTACTAATAGACAATAAGTGATGGTAATTTCATCTCACTCTATGGAAGCACCTGTGTGTGCTTTCATTTTACAAGTCAGTAACTGTTGTGCAACTGACCTCTGGATAGTTTTCAGTAGTCTCAGATCAAAAATGTTGAATTCTATATTTAAGCAGAGCAATGTGTTTTCCTCCCAAATCTGGGAGAGCAAAATCAATAGAAGTTCATGGCTAAGAGACATTTAACTTAATGTCTTACACTGAGAGAACTGAATTAAAAATCCAAGCAATCCTTCATAGGTAGTGAGGATAAGCAGCTAATTTTAGGATGTCATTCACCTGATCCTCTTTAGGCACCAACTTTAGGATAAGGTTAACTCTGAACAGATCTCCAGTGGCTACAGAGAAAGCCCAGGAGGTTTTGATAAAATGTGATACGAGAATTTAACTAAACTAATCGCATTGGTTCAAGTTGTGTGAGCTGGAAGCAAGAAGTGCGAGCGACATCTCGCCCAACAGCTTCTGAAACTGTTGGTAGGAAAACTGTTTTAGAAATCTGTTTGTAGAAGACTTCCAGGGGGATATATTTCTGAGGTGAAAGGGAAGTCCGTGCACTGGTGAGATCATGGGGTTTCAGTCTTGTCCAGACCGTAAGAAACACTTGTTTTTAAGTATGACGTTGTTTATCCAACCTCTCGCAAAAGGGGATGCTGATGAGACTTGTACGTAATAGTCCTAAACAGATGAGAAGCAGCAGTAATGCTGTGGATATGTCCTCTCCAGTGTACGTAGAGCCTTTGCCCTCTGGTCACTGCTGATACCTTGCTTAGTCCTTTATTACTGTCTCCTCATTTCTTTCAGTTGGCTGGATGAGACCCCAGTAAACTATGTTGCCTGGGCTCCAAATGAACCCAATTTTGCAAATAATGATGAAAATTGTGTGATAATGTCAAGCGATTTTGGTGAGTAAAATAGCAACAAGAAAATTTAGTACCAAAATGAAAAATGCTTCCTATATATTTATATTTGAGGCCAAGCTTTGATTACCAAACAGGTAGTTGAGCAATACTGACAGGTTTTCACAACATAAGTATGCTGAAGTTTAAACCCACACCATCGCTATTAGAAGACAAACATACAACAGAGGAAGGATTGGATTTGTGTCCATGTGTGCATGGCAACTGTTTCAGCTGCCTCTGGAAGGTTTCGTCTGTGCTTTACGAATATTGCCAGGGGCTGACTGCTGTAATGGTGGTACAAGACTTTCAGACAGTGATTCTCTTTATTCCATTTATCTACAGGTTTTTGGAAAGATATAAACTGTGCTCAGAAAAATGCCTTCATTTGTGAAAGACACAATTCCACTTACTCAGGATTTGCTCCTACTGTTCTTCCTACTCCTACTGTACTTCCACCTCTGAGAGGATGTCCTGAAACCTGGCTTTTGTTTAACAGTAAGGTGCAGTAACAAATCACAGTCATACTTAGCAGATTTGCTATAGGTAGAGAAAACAATTATCCTTTTTGTCTCACTACATATATTCTCTCACTTCATACACCAGGTTATTAAGTGGTATTCTAAACAGTAGGGTACTCAAATTCCATATTGGAGAGTCCCTATCTAAATCTCAAAAAAAGATACATTTTAATGTTTTAGGTTATAACGTTTGTAAATGCACGTGTGCCTTTGGCCATACTTAATTTTTCAGTTTCTAGAACTCTCTATTTAGACATACTTACACCATGGAAATCCAGTTCCCTTATCACAGAATCACAGAATCGTAGAATGGCCTAGGCTGGAAGTGACCTTAGAGATCATCTAGTCCAACCTCCCTGTCATGGGCAGGGATGCCTCTCAACTAGATCAGGATACTCAAGGCTCCACCCAACTTGGCCTTGAACACCTCCAGGGAGGGGGCAGCCACAGCATCTCTGGGCAATTTATTCCAGAGTCTTGCCACCCTAATACTGAAGAATTTCTTCCTAAGACCCAATCCAAATCTATTCTCCTTCAACTTAAACCCATTTCCCCTTGTCCTGTTGGTGGACACTCTTGTAAAAAGTCCCTCCCCAGCCTTCCTGTAGGTTCCCTTCAGGTATGGCAAGGCAGCTGTTAGGTCCCCCTGAAGTCTTCTCTTTTCAAGACTGAACAATCCCAGCTCCCGCAGCCTGTCCTCGTAGCAGAGGTGCTCCAGCCCCTGGATCATCCTTGTGGCCCTCCTCTGAACACGCTCCAGCAGATCCACGTCCCTCTTATGGTGGGGGCACCAGAACTGGATGCAGTATTTGAGGTGGGGTCTCACAAGAGCAGAGTATAGGGGGAGAATCACCTCTCTTGATCTGCTGACCACGCTAGCTCCTAGGATGCGGTTGGCCTTCTGGGCTGCATGAGTGCACTGCTGGCTCATGTTGAGCTTCTCATCTATCAACACCCCTAAATCCTTCTCTTCAGAACTACTCTCAACTGACTCTGTGCCCAGTTTGTATTTGTGTCTGGGATTAGCCCGGCCCAGGTGCAGGACCTTGCACTTTGACTTGTTGAAGCTCACGCAGTTTGCACTGGCCCATTTCTCAAGCCCATCAAGGTCCCTCTGGGTGGCATCTCTTCCCTCAAGTGAGTCCACGGCACCACACAGCTTGGTGTCATCGGCAAACTTACTGAGGGTGCACTCAGTGCTGTAATCCATGTCGCTGACAAAGATGTTGAACAGCACTGGACCCAGAACAGACCCCTGAGGAACACCGCTTGTCACTGGTCTCCAGGTAGACATTGCACCATTGACCACAACTCTTTGAGTGCGACCATCCAGCCAGTTCTTTATCCACCGAGTGGTCCATCTGTCAAATCCGTGTCTCTCCATTTTAGAGACAAAGATGTCATGTGGGACAGTGTCAAATGCCTTGCACTAAGATGAAATTGAAAAGTCACGCTTTTCGTATGTAATTGGCTACCACAAGAACTTACCTTAAATTGAGTAACACAAGCAACAATAAATGTCAAATCAATAATATAGAAAACAAGCAATCACTTTCTTTTTCTAAGTTAAGCAGAATTCTATCTGGTCATATGAACTTAAGAAAAAACAAATAACAAATGAAATCAACAAATCAATCCCACAATGAAATCAATACCACGATGAAATCAATACCAGAAGTTTTTATGCATTAAAAGGGCATAAAAAGGGAGTAGCAGCATATGCCAGTTAAAAAACTTGTCTTCTGTCCCTTAGAGTACACACAACCACAAAAACAAGCATGTTTTTTTTCTTCCTGATGCTGTTCCGCTCATGCCGAGTGCTCATACAAGCTCAGACTTCAGCTCTAAATCTGTGGTATACAGTTGAGTGAGCTTGACCTGAAAAATACCTGCCCCAAATTTTGTTCCCAATGAAAGAAATAGTTTCAGTCTCTCGACAATTTTACTCTTCAGTAATTAGATCCAAAATTTCTACCTGTGCGCCTTGGATATCTACTTAATTCCTCAAAAGTTTTTGGAGGTTACCCACTCTTGCCCAGCACTAACCTTGGGCATCCTACAGGTTTGTCAGTGTGGAACAAGCATCACTGTGATTAGCTGTGTCTCCTTCTTGCTAGCTGTAAGTATTTACATTTCAGCAGATTCCCTATCTTTAGATGCAGGGACTATAACTAAATAAATCCAACCTAATTTTAATACTGTTTGACACCTGAATTTTCATCTAATCCTTACCTCTCCCCACAGTGTTATAAAATATTTGGATCCAGAGAAGAGAGACTGACTTGGCATTCAGCAAGAAGTGCATGTATAGAATTAGGGGGAAATTTGGCTTCTATACACAACGAGGAAGTGCAAGGTATGACATCTGAACCTTTTGGTGCTGTGTATGAAACCAGCACATTTCACCATATAACAACAAGGCCAAACCAGCCTCCAGATCTAAATAACATAACCTATGCAGGAAGATCTGAAGCTGCTTGATTCAGAGAGAAGACCGGTGCAAGATATTATGACACTTTCCATTTCTTGGCAAGAGTGTCCTGTGGATGGGACAGCATAATCTGTTCCTCATGGCTTTGGAAGATGGAATAAATAGTAATAGTTCATAGTAATGAAGTGCCCACAGATATTGAAGCCAGAAAGTGAACAAACATCCATCAGAAATTACATATATGCAGTTGATGCTACCTTGGGGAAGACAGATTAATCCTTTTGAAGTCCCCTCTATCTCTAATTTCTATAATATTTCCAAGAAATCTCTATCATTTTTATGTCAAAAACTTTTGGGTTTTTTTAATTATATCAAACTTCTTCAGTTAAACTATCATTTGTAATTTTTCCTTTTTACTGTCAACCGATAGTCTAACAATACTGAAGTAGATAGTTGTAATATTTTTAAAAGCTGATTTGTTGTTCTATTTGGAATTTGGTTTACACTGAATTTGAAGAAAGGCAACTCCTCAGCTACTCTCTTTCTCTGATCTTTTTTCTTAATAGCTTTCTTCACCTTCCACCTAAAGGATGTCTCCAATGAAACTTGGATTGGACTGAATGATATTAACAATGAGGATACGTATGTTTGGACAGATGGAAGCTCTTTTGACTATTCAAAGTGGGCAAGACGTTTCCCATTTAGAGATGAATTCATGCAAGTTGACTGGAAGTATATTACAATTGAGGTAAACAGAAAAAAATCAAAAAGTGCATAACTTAGATAACCACTCCAGGTTAGCGGAACCAATCTGACTTCTCTCTCTGTATTACAATGGATTAACTCAAAAGGCAACTGAATAATATTTCAAAGATCAAGTTTTTAAAGCTGTACCCACAATTTAATAGGCCCATTTAGAGTTTATACTCATTGTCATTCCTTCACAAAAGTCTAGAACTGCAAAAAGGACTATTGTATTATAATTACCACTAGAATTATTAGATTTTAATTGAAAAATACTGTATTACTAGTTGGGATTTTGATTTTGTTTTATTGTTTCTCCTTATATAGCATGAATTCTAATGAAAGTTCAACAAATTCCATACAGATTGCCATAAACTATGTAGTAAAAAAATGGCTTTCCTGCACTCCAAGAAGTGTTAATTAACTGGCAAAAGCCTGTGCAGTAAGCTGCCAAGGGAAGCATATTTTCTTAAGGTATATAATACAATAAGTTTATTTTCAGGAAACAATAAATTAAAATATGAGCCAGAAAATTAGGAAAGAAAGCTACTAACGTTTTCTCCTCAAACCTATTTTTATCATTTTGCCAGATATCTTGCCCTTCATCACCTCTAATTTTTTTTTCATTTTCCCCTAGACCGACTGTATTGCAATGACGACAAGATCTGTAGATGAAGCAGGATACTGGGAGAACACTGACTGCCTGCATAACAAAAGCTACATTTGCCAGATGGACAGCAGTAAGTTTTACTTTTCACCTTCTTTGTTGGCAGACGTTTACTGAACAACCCGACCATATCAGTCCTCAGTTGTAACTGCCCAGCTGTGCCTGTAGCAGCTGGGGTGAGGGAAGCAGGGCTACTTTCCCTGCTCAGGGATTCCAGACACAAAACCCACTCTGGGATAAGAATTATAAAAATGTTTCAGATTTACGGCCTCGCCTCTGCCAGCATATCCACCAACATTCACAGGGGCTGACTTCATCTACGCTGCAGACATCTACATTTAAACCAATTCATTGCACATGGTGAGTAGACACTTTGAAGGCAGGACTCATCTGCTTCCTCCTGAGGTAAACACCCAGAAGAGGTTAGAAGAGCTGTCTTCAAACTGTGTTTTTCCTCTTTTGACAGAAAATTTTAGCTACCTGTGCTTTACCCAACTAGCACAGATACACTTATCTGAATCAGGTTATTTTGCAAATGCAAATCATAAAGACAAATCCATTAGTGACCATAGGTATCTCAGCCAGCTAGACAACACACTAAAAGCTGCTTCACCATCCTCACGCTCACACAGAACCCCCCTCACTAAAAACCCCTTACTCAAGCCCCACAGAGGGGTTAATTAAGGTCAGTTAAACGGGTTAGTTTGCTCATCAGTCTCTAGCAATGCTTTTATACCACATGGGCAGCAACAATCAGAAGGGCAAAAGTTCTAGTTTTCTTGGTGCGTCCTCAGGGTGGGAGGCACACCCGGAGCACAGTTACACTGCAGATTCTGCAGGAATAGAAACAGGGAACTGCTGAGTAGTGAGCAAAAATACAGGAAGAAGCCACAGCTGGGCCAGATGTTTCACAGCTCCATCTCATGCAAGTGCAGAAAGCTGCATGAAGGTGTCACTAGCAAAAACAATTAATTGCCAGGATGTTCTCGACCCTGACTGAACACCAAGGGAGATTTTTGTCCTTTTCTCTGTCCCCAACACTACTTCTAGGTCTTCTACTCCCACACATACCATTTAAGGTACAACTACAGTTTCCTTTCTGACTTCATCATATATGCAAAAAAAATAGCAGCAGAGTCACAAACTTTGCTTAGAATGAAATTCATCCCTATTTTGAGACTGAAATGGTGTAGAGTTCCTGCACGGGCTTTGTACTTTGGCGGAATGTCATGTGAATTGTGGGAGAGGGACCTAGAGAGCTCTGTGGGAGAATCAGTATGTGATCAGTATTCACATCATTTCATCTGGTGCAAGGTATGCACAGCTCATTTTCCCTAATTCTATGTACAATGTAGTTAAAAATAATTCCAAGTTGCCGTTAAAATATGTCTCCTGTTTTTTAAATAAGAAATGCTTTCACTTGATGCTTATGCTGCCATGCTATATTCATCCGTTACTCAAAAGCAATACTGCTATTGAGGCAGCTAGTAATTTTTCACTGTTTTCTCCCCTTCCTCTCAAATTTGTACCTCTTTCCTACAGAGCCTGAACTGTTTCATTTCACAACTACTCCAGATTCTGATTTCATCAATTATGATAACAGCAGCTATTTAATTATTCCTTATAAAATGAATTGGGAAGAAGCAAGAAAAGCCTGCAAGGAGAAATCTTCAGAACTTGCCAGCATTTTTGATTATCTGCTGCTGCAGGCAGTGCAATACAGAGAGCCTTTATGGATTGGACTCAACAGCAATGTGGTAAGATTAATAAGTTGATAGGTGGTGTAGTTAAATGCCATAATTGGTTTACTATCAGCAGAGAGAATTATAGCATGAACAGATTGAGAAGTTTGACTGGTGGACAGCACTCACTTAATTCAACTTCATCCATCTTAAATCATTAAACTCCATCTTAGTGAATGGAGAAGGACCTGAATCTCTGACAGTGCTGGCCTCTACTTATTAACTCTATGGGCACCTTAGACACTTAGGTCAAACTACCAGGTTGACATTTGGATGGCTATTTTAGGAAAGGTGAATTCTGCTCAAGAGAACCAACAGGGTCATTAAGGCTAGTATCTCGTGATCATTAGCATCTGTAGCTTTTTCATTATTTTTTGGTTCAGAGTGGTTCATAGGACACACCATGTGCCTCTGAACACCCTTCTTGTTATGCCTGTTTAGACCCAAGGACTAAAAACAGTAAAAGCTATACTGGACCAGAAGAGAACACAGAGATCCAGGTCCACCACTGTTTTAAGGGAAGTCAAGCAAGCACCAGTCTTACTAGCTCCGTGACTGAGTGTCAAAATGAACTTCAGCTTCTCTAGTGAATATGCAGTGGTTCATTGCACTTAAATATTATGTTTCTATTGCATTTTTCTCTGAGCTGACTAAACTACCCTGATAATAAAAAAGCGCTCTTTCATGAGTAATAATCCTCTTAACTAGTGATTGTTTTTACTAATTGTGATTCTACACAGATATATAACATAGAAAAATAGGTCTGAAATTCAGTATCTCTAGGGGGAACTGATTGTATGCTACAGCAGTACACTGATAAAGCCTCTTAGAAGGCTATGTTGTCTTAGACAATGAACTTGTTGCTGAACAATACGTATTTCCATGATGCTAATAGTGCCTCTGCCTACCAGACAAAATGCTTGGCCTTAGAATTTGTAAGTGGTTGGTAGCCACCAATGCTGACATGAATCCTGCCACTTGTGCAAGTCCACAGGGCATCTCTATCCTATACAAATTAATATTGTTTATGTCCAGTTGTTATCAAAGCTGGTTGCTTTTAAAATTATAGAAATGGTTTAGAAAGCAGTAAAATTCCATTATGATCAAGTTTGGATCACCAGACATGTTCTCCTGATCCTTTGCATGAGCTGGCCCTGCTGTTGCAGAGTGAAGCTTTGTGGCTCCTTCCAGACCTCAGGCAGACCTCTTGCCCTGATGGTATGGAGCTCAGAAGGGGCTTGCAAAGCTGGCTTCTTGACACACTAGTGAGGTCACATTTTAACCCTTAGTTCTTAATGTCAGCAATATACTGTCTGGAACTGTCTCCTTTTCTTTGTGATTCCTCTGGAATTCCTTCTGATTCTTCCTGAGGAAAAAAGAAAAAAGAGGGAGGAAGGCAGGGAAAACAAAACAAACACTCAAAACTTCCTGCTCCTCCATATTTCTATTTTACTTCTAACAAACTAATAATTTTCTCAGATTTTTCATGGTGTAGCTGCATTTTAGTCCTGAATGTTTCTCCTCAAAACTGTACTTCAGATTACAGTCCTTGTTTAACAGCCTCCCTCTGAAACCCACTTCCATCTGAGACTTCCAAAATTTTCATATTCCTGTGGTCATCTTGTTCTTCATGGTGACCTGACCCCTGTGGGACAGTGATTCCAGCTCACAGCATTGCCCAACAAGGGAATGATCACCAGGAGCACCAAGGAAGCACCATCGAACCTTCAAAACCCCTTTGTGACCTTTTACAGCATGGGAGACATACTGCTGAGTTCTGATTCAATTAGTATTTTAATTATTCGTAAAAGTACTAGCACAGAGATATAAACTGAGCTTTATATATCACTGTTAAAATGTGCATTTGTATAAATCTACTTACATGAAACAGCAGATCAGAGTCTAGAAAAATTATGTTAAACGTCTGCTTCAATTTTAGAGTTATGGCTATTACAGATGGAGTGATAAAAGGAAAATAAACTTCTCTAACTGGTACTATGAAGAGCCAAAACAGAAAATAGCCTGTGTCTATCTAGATCTCCATGGGAGCTGGAAAACAGCACCTTGTAATGAAGAACATTTTCCCGTCTGCAAAAAATCTGAGGGTAAGCTAAGACGATGACTCTTTGGTTTATATCAGGAACCTTGCTGGGTCTGCTTCAACTGAAATACAATTTTACAAAGTATGTATTAAAGAATAATAAGATGGAGTGTGTAATGTCAGTATCTTTTTTTTTTTTTTTTTTTCCATGAACAACGTTTTATTCTCATGGAACTGTCATTCACCAGCCAGGATACTGCCATTGCACTGCAGTGGGGCGATACCTGCAGTAGGAGTCAGCCTACAGCACAAGCAGAACACAGAAACTCTGGGAATGCTAAACATTGCACTTTGAGTGTAGAATGTGAAACTCTTTGCTGGCAGGGTTTTTATGGGAAGGATTGTAATCAATAAAGCCCACCAAGTATAAAATAAATTTTGTTCCTTCAATATAACCAGCATTTGTACAGTGATTACAGCTCCACTATTACTAGATGTTGAAAACTGTAGAAAGCAGGAAGGGTTGTATCTCGTTACTCCTGCAGCACTTTGGTGGCTTCTGCTAATGTATTATGGTGTTGGGAAAAAAAGACTCAGTTTTTGGCCCAAACAGAAGTTCATACTTCATAGTGATTTTGCGGGTGTCACTGAGGAACACTGCAAATTAAAAGCAATGGGCAAGCCTTATGATGGACAGAGTTGTTTTTGCTTTCTTATTTGTATTAGAGCAATTGCTGTTTGCTCTAGTGAAATGAAGTTAATGGAAATTCTGAGTTTCTTTTGATTTGTTTTTTGTGTAGCTTTTGTATAATTTCTTTTCCATGCTCTGAACTTCAACTCTATTCATTTGCAACTTTTGTTTTAAAAACAGATTTACTAACTGAAAATGGCACTGTTTCTTTCCACAATGTCATCACTTGCAAGAAAATGAGGGGCTGCTACACAAATATTCAATGAGCTTCAGATTATTCCATGCATTGTCACAGTTAAAGCTGCTCAGAAATGTTACAAACACAAATTAATTGGTTATAACAAAATACACTAAAAGCAAAAGCTCCTGAACACCCTAAAATCCTTGAGGCAGTCCATGTTCGATTTAGTTGGTAACACAGAAGAAGACAGTCTCACATCGAATTGTTCAGCTGTGATTGAGCAGTTCTGCTCCTTGTTGTCACTGATAATTCTGGCACTGTGTGCTGAAGAATATTTTAAGTACTTTTAAGAAACGTTTTTTTAAAGAACTTGATTTCACTTCTGAAGAATTGTAATCTTCTTTGAATGAAAGCATCAATAATATCTCATTTCTTTTAGATGTACTTCCTTCTGATCCCCCACAGGATACTGGAAAATGTCCTGAATCTGATCACATATTTTGGATCCCTTTCCGAAGCCATTGCTATAACTTCAATGCCAACGAAATGAGCTGGGCTCAGGCAGTGACTCAGTGCATTCATTCAGGTAATTATTTTTTTAACCAGAGACATTAAAAAAAACCCTTGACGTAAAAAAAAAAAGTTACTTGCTACCAAATCTACACATATTTCAAAAAAGGAAACTAGAGTCTCTATTAATCACTATTGGTGCTGTTTGTTCTCAGTTATATTGAAATGAAGATGATAAATTGTCCTTGATTTTGTCCAGCTATGCTTTTTTCTTGTTATATTTCCTCACTCAAAATTTCTCCTTTGAGTAAGATTTTAAATGGGTTAACTTCTTTCTAGCTTTACCCCTTCTTTTCCATATATCTTCCCACCAAGAGCCTGCATGGGGCTATGGGTTCAGCCTGAAGGTCCTTTCTCCAGCAGCCAGGCTCCCTGGCAGCGGCAGAGCCAGGGCAGGGCAAACGCTTCCCTCCCCTCAGCTTGGAAGCAGCTGGTCCTGGCCAAGACCATGAGCTGCAACTTGGCCCTCTTCCATCTACACTGCAGAATCATCAGCTACCTCATCCATGCTCCAGGGGGCTGTGGAAGAGAAAGGGAAGCACTGCACTGCCCAAAAGAAATGGATCCTTTTGTTTCATACCTCTTTAGATCCTCTCCCTCCACCACCATCATACTTCAGTTTGAACTGCAAATTTTTGTGCTGCGCAGTATTACATGCAACCTAATATTCTGTCAAACCATGAAGAAAAAAAAAATAATAATCCATTCTATGATTCTATGATAATGCCTATGAAAAATATTATCCATTCACTTGAAAACGATATGCACTTTGTCTGGTGTTTAAAAATCATAATCTTCGCTATACTTTCACGTCTTTCATTTCTGGTGACATCTCTTTCAGTCTCCACTGAACACTACTCTCTGGTCTTTAAATTCTTGCTTACTCTCCACCAGCAGGAAAGGTTTAATTAACCTCATCCTATACCAAAGGCTGTAACTACCACTGACTTCTATGCCTTCAATCATCTTCTGTTGGTTTTCTTATAGGTGGTATACTGACTTCTGTTGAAGATCCCGCTGAATCAAACTTTTTAACAGAACATGCAGACTTATACACAAGCAAGACAAGTGGCTTTTGGATAGGAATGTACAGAAACGTAAATGGTAACCATTTTAAGTTCTATAAATACTCATAAACAGACCATTAAATGGGCAGAAATATGAATAAGATACATTGTTGTTTTTAAGGAACTAACTGATTTATAGAAGAAGCTAGTTAAAACCCAAAAGACAGATTGATAGCACATAATCTAAAAATTCTCAGAAGCTGATGGTTCTATCCAATAGGTGTGAAAGGCTGTACTAAAGAAATCTGCTTGGCTTCTGTGACGAGTGTTGGATATTGCAGGGGTCCACCAAAGGGATGCCACCCTGTGGGACTGCCTCAGTTCAGATATCTTGTCTGTATCTTCTGCAGCAGTGAAGTGTGGAGAGCTGACAGGAATACCTCTTGAAAGGCACAGCACAGAAGATACTGTCGTTTCAGAAAGTGTGATATAACATGTAATTCCAGCTGTCCACACCTGAGGCAATCATGGGGCCTCATTTATAAGTTTGAATGATACAGGAATCCCTGTAATTGATAAAAATTCTGCACAGCTGCTTACGGTGGCAGTGTCACCACAGACCTTCACAGAGGACCACATCTAATGACATGTATCCATCCCTCGGACCTCAGCCCTCCCTGAGGACATGTCTCCTGTTTCCGGTCTGGGAGAAAGCCTTTCCCACCCTGTTTGCTCCCTGTCCCAGTGGGGAATATGTCCCGGCTGGCTTTCATCTTCTCACAGCTGGGGAGCATCCACATGTGCAGTAGGAGCCCACAGCATCAAGCTTCTCTGTATCGAGAATATTAGGCTCCTGGCTACCAGAAAAAGTGTGTTGGAAAACGTGCACCTGGAAGAAAACAACACTAGTGTCAATCTACAATTAGTCAGATTAATTTACGATTCATTTTAACTCATTGATACATCTAAATTTTTGTTTCAGAGTTGTGCAAGAAAGAAATGGTTAAATCTTAACTAAGTATATATTTAAAGCATTACAGTAAAAGCTGCTTGATTTTCAATTGCTGCTGCTGAAATAATAATTTAGAAATTTTTTTAAAAAATCCTAGCTTTATTTTTCTTCATTTTGAAACTTTAGTACCCTGTACAAAAATATGGGGATATGAAACTTAAAACTAGACTATGATTGGCAAATCTGCAAATTATGATTTAAGAAGAGAATCAAAAGAAATAAAGTGCATTAGAAAACAAGCATAGATAGAAATTTTGAAGAAATTAGTATTGCTTTATTAGGCTGAGTGAAGTAATAATATTAATATTCACTAATAATAGTGAAGATCTTTGATGTGGGACTGCTGGAGTTGCTACTAACATTTGCCACATTAGGGCAGCTGCTTTGGCAAGACAACAGTGCCTTAGACTTTGTCAACTGGGGAGAAGGACAGCCCACGGAGGACCAGCTTGATTACTGTGGGGAGTTATCTGCATCCTCCGGCTACTGGAGCATCCTTCCTTGTTCTTCCCAAAAGGGTTTTATTTGTAAGAAGCCAAAGAGTAAGTGACTTCTTTAATATTTGCTTTCGATGTTTATGGTTTTATTTCAATGGTAACAGTACAATATGGTCATACAAAAGACTGACACAAACTCCTGCATGTACAGTCTTCATTATCACCTGTTTCAGCATTCAGACAAAAATCATATGACTATACAAAGTTTGGGTTGGTTTTATTTTTTTTCGTATGCCCTGCTCATGTTTTATTCCTTCATAACTCCAGATTTTCTTGCACTCTGTGATGAATATTCAATGAATAACTAAAGATGATAATATTTTCTGAATTTTTTTTAAACCTCTTTGTTGTTTTGCTCCCCTCAATAACACACACAGATTTTCCTGCTAACATTCATGTTCTTTTTTATGGAACAGGAGTTGCATCAATAATTTTCTTCCTCTTTACTGTACTGTGATACATAGTGTTCCAGTAAGGGATGGATGAAGCAATTCCATTTAAATAATACATGAATGGCAACATGATCCAAAGCACGTATAGTGACCTTTGAAAACAGTTAGAAGTGTTTTGGTTAGCGTGTGGGTTTGTTTTTTTTTTAATATTGTGTTTCTGTGTAATCGAGCACCATCTGCTTTGGTCAGGAAGTAGAAATATCAGAGTATTTTGAGCCAAGCAGCCATGTGGTATTCTGGAGTTTAACTGTTAGTTCTGAAAAAAAAGTATGATTTCCTGCCCTGTTTCACAACCCTGACGTTGAGGAAGTTCCTGAGGTTCTGTCCTTTCCCCGCCCAGGGCAAAGCTGCAGCTGGTGGGGAGAGCAGCTATACACATTCTTAGCCATGTCAGAGCATTTTCTGAGAATTAAAATTCTTCTTCTAGAGCCACTCTTAGTTTTCTTTGGGTAGTCAGAGCAATAGACACCACAGAAAGTTAATTCTTTGTTACCAGATATATTAGAAAGCAGAAACTCAAAGTCAACACATACTTTATTTGATGGGTTTGACTGTGAGTGGCCCCTAAGTGCAACACTAAACACAGAGAATATACCCTAGCACCAGATTCTCCAGCAGAATTGGGCTTCATCACATGCAAATATCGCACTGCAGTGAGCTCTGCAGCCTTCTAGGGGACAATTTAACAGCTGCATTTCCTTTGTGCTCACAAACATACCAGAGCTCCATGTGTTGCTGTGCTTCTGCTGCAGCAGCCAGGCTCCCGGTGCTTCTCTCAGGAGTTAAGGCTGGGCTGGCCACTAAACAAGTGACAGAAGCTCTGTTAATCCTTCTTGTTCCCCACAGGGGAAGGATTTAAGGCAGAGGGACTTACGGATTGGAAAACTAAAACAACTTTAATGAAACAATAGTGGTACGAATAAGAAAATAATCAAAATAAAGAAATACAAATACATACAAACCCAGTATCAACCCAAATTTCCTGATGGCAATCACCACTGGTGCTGCAGAGCAGCCAGGCGCCAAGGAAGTCCCAGGCTGGACTTCGGGACAGAGGGGAACTGGATACAGGAGCTGGATTAAGGAACTCATGGGTCAGGACTGAGGGCAGAACAGATGGAGTCCTCCTCAGACACTGGGCATTGAAGAAGAAGGCTTAAACCTTGTGACCCTTCAGCTGTATGCTGAATATGACATATATGGAAAGGAATACTTTTGTTGGTCACCTGTCCTGTCTGTTCCTCCCCAGAGATACGACCTTTTACTTCCTTGCAACCCTTTTAATTCCTGGCACCCCCGATGTCTTACACGAGATCCAGCAGTGGCCTTGGTCACTACAGGAACAAGTATAAGCAAGAGCCTTTCTGCATCCCAGCCCTTGGCAGTAACTACAAACATCAGGCGGTATCACTTCTAGAAGCAGACACCGCCTGCAAAAACACACTATTAACTGCAGAAAGTGCAGCCTCTTAGAAGGGACAGAGCTGAAAAGTAAATTCAGTAAACAAAATTGGTTCTGGTTTAGGTCAAACGAGGGCAGATTCCTGTGTCGGGACGGGAACTCCTTCGCAGCTCGGCGGGGCCTGCTGGCCCCGGGGGAGCTGCGCTCTGG